CATTTACACAAGCTCCTTAGGTAGGTTACTCACCGTTCCTCTGCACCCTTCTTTCCTTCAATATATCCTGCAAGTGTCAAATTTTCCAAGCCTTATTTCCTCATTATGTATCAAAGAAATTTCAACTCTTTCTGATTCTACATTTAAGTTTCCTTTCTGTTTCCAATGAAATTCTGACAATTTTGAGCCATTATTTTAAACTGGGCCTCAAAGTTGCTGGAAGTAAATCAAATAATATCTGACCATACTACTCAGAACTGATTCAAGCATTTTAAAGGTCCCTTGAAATAAAGCCCTAAAGTGGATAATAATAAGTTGCTTCTCATGATACTTAAAAATGCAAAGTAGGGGAAAACTGTCCACTAAAACAAAAAAACAATTCTGGAAGAATTCGGATCATCAAAAGATATAAAGCTTCAAAAAACACACAAGAGTTCTCAATTAATTCTCAATTAATTCCCCATTAAAAAAAAAAAAAAATTTTGATACACCCTTAATATAGTTCAAAGTATAAACCATATTTAATAAAGCTATGCAAACAACAAATGCAGATTAAATAAGTTTTGAAACTTCCCAATATTTTGAGAGAACTGGATTTTTTTTTTTTTATTAAACAACAAAAAGTGTTTTGTCTTCTTAATGGATTTTTTTGTAAATTCTGTATAACTACAAAGACATTTCTGCTAAAAATTACCCAGCTGTTACAAAATAATTTAGTTTCCAATTTTTATTTATTCTATCAGGAAATTGTTACTAAGAACTGAATTTATAGCAATATGTCTTTTTTCTTATGATAATTATGCAGATATCAGTTTCATTTGGTTCCTGTGAACCAAGTTTATATACACAATAGTAAAAAAAAAAATCAATGAATAAAAGACTATTACATCATAAATGTATATGAATATATATTAATGTATTTCAGGAACTAAATTATGTTAGTATTAAATGTTGATTTACCACACTACCTTAAGCAAAAGGAAATTTCCATCAATACTAAAAAGAGCAATAACAGTAAACTTGAAAAGATTATTTTCCTGAAAAAAAGATTTTATAAATTTCAACTGACAATAACACTATCTGTTCAGTCAATGAATAGTGAGTGTTAACTGGATGGAAACGGCTAATTTCACTATTACTATTTAAATTATATAAAAAATAGTCCAGCAATTAGAACAAAGTATAATTTTGAGATAAATTAGTTAACAAGATATCAGTTAGTCATGTACATATAAAATTGGCACAAAAAATCCATTAGATGATTGATCGCATTAATTGGAATCATGGTGTTCAATTTAATAAATATACAGTCTTCTTCTGTTATTTCTATATGCTATGCTCCTTCAGCATGTTGGCAATCATGGCTCTCCACAGTTTCCTCTCCTTTTTAGTCCTTAGTAAATTTTGCTATCTCTCCTAAACCCTGTTCTGCCATCCATTTATACAAGCTTGTGAGATAGGTTAGGCACTGTTTTCCTTATTAAATGCCCTAGAAATTTCAACTATCTCTTTCTGATAAGTACGTGTCCTTTTTGCCTCTGTTTTCATTACAATTTTGTCATTGCTCGCATGTTCAGTCTATGGTATTCTCAGCATCCTTTTGTAGAACCACATTTCTGTTACCTTAAGACTTTTCTTCATCATTGAAGAGATTGGCCTGCATTCACTACCATATAAGAGGACCAATATTGCATAACAGTTCAATAGTCTTTTCTTCATTTCTAATGAATTTTTCTGGTTTCTTAATACTTTTGGAAGGCATCTTCCATTATTTCAATGTGCCTTTAGATTTTGGTGTTACACTTTCTGTCTTCTATTAAAACACTTACCAGATATTTAAATTGTTGTATGAGCTGGTAGAGTTGCCAACCAACTGAAAATAACATACATACATACACACATACATACATACATACATTTGTTGTATTGGCTTAGCCACTTCCAAATCTGGACCCAATAGAAAATTTGTAAACCTTTGTTAACAAACAATACAAGGCATCCCCAAAGTTTGGACACATAGGAAATCTCATTTTAGTGTAATAAATCATATGTGAAAATATATTAGGATGTTTAGAAAGTGGTTATATATTTTGCAGCTAAGAATTATGAGTCAACCACTCACAGCAGAACCCAAATTGAATGGAAGAAAACTGCATCTAGAATAAGTTTATTGCTTTTGCTATCCAACAGTGTAATTTATCATGCATTTCAGAGTTTAATTGGGAAAACTTGAAAAGAGGGAATTTAGATTTTTCATCAACTTTTACTTTACTTTATCAAACACAATGAACCATCATCTGCAGCGGGATTTTAAGCAGGAACATCAAATTTTCATTCCTGAATCACAACTGTTACAGGTGATGAAAAATGAGTTTTGCATGTCAATAAAAAAAAAAAAGTGATTACAAAATGAGAAACCAGTGCCAATATTAAAACCAAGACTCCATCTAGATTCTTACTTTGTTTTGAATGGAATATGAAAATTGTTTTCCATTATGAGCTGGAAGGACCAAAACTGTAGATGTTTATTAACTGCAATTTGATTAGATATACAAAGTATTATGCCAAATTTATCCTGCTTTGTTAAAGTGAAAAGGTTTTTATTCTTCTGCATGTGAATGCAAGGTCAACTGTACAAATCAAACCCAAGAAAAAAAAAATGAGATTTTTAGGATAATAGGTTCTTTTGATATCCTCCATACTCGCAAGAAAGCATTAACAGTTAACTCAGCCTTTGAACAATGAAATGTTATAGTCATTTGTAGTGAACATAACCCTCAATAAATGACCAATACTGCTGGCCTTGTGCCAAAAGTAAGCAACAATAGATAACAACTCAGCTACACTCTAATCTTTTGTCTATAGACTAGATAGGAGCAGAAAGTATTAAATAGAAAATAAAGGAATTGTTACCACATTTTTTTTATAATACAAAATGTGCCAGTGTATAAGATGCACCCTTATTTTGAAGAAAAAGCTTTGAAAAAAAACTACAGTCGTATTTGTAAGATATTTATATATAAAAATACTGTATATATTTGCCTATCATGTGACTTTTTAAGTGGGGGTCGCATCATACATTGAGATATATATTGAGATCTAAAATTAGCATATGTACTGCTGGTCCTGGCTATGCCATTGACCAAATTATATATCCATTTACTGTAGTCAAAAAGTACAGCTGTATTTAAAATAAACATTTTGATAAAATTGATGCTTTACTTAACTGTATCTAAAAATACACGGAATATTCACATATTAATATCATAAACTACAGAGTGAATATGAATTTTTATCACTGTTTACATTTATAAGATGTTTAGCTATTTCTTGTTCAGTTGTTTATGGCTGTAGTGTTTATCCGAGTATAGCATTGCCATTTACTTTTTAATTTATTTAATGTTGTAACCTAGGGAAGGTTAACAAATAGAATAATCAAACAAAGGTTGGTAATGAACGATAATACTTAGGACAAGAAAAACACATAGCAGTGCATAGAATAAGTAGTCAACTGCTAAAAATGAGTCAAGTGAATTCCATAATGAATCTCCAACTGCAGACAAACACACAGTATTTACTATTGTATTTATGTGAATGGAGGCATATCCATTATCATCCATAGGTATGCTACAAAATTTAACTAGAAGATGGGATAAAGAGATAGAGGAAAAGAGGTTAGTCTATTGTAATTTGGTCTCTCAAAAAAAAAAAAAAAAAAAAAAGAACTTGCATGATAAACAAGATACATAATAAAATCATTTTTATAAATGAAAATTTGGGAGTTGTACAATATGCAAGATAGTGGGTTACACGAGTCTATACAGTAAATCAATCTCGTATTTTAAAAGTTAGTATATATTCTCAACACAAGATATCCTTGCTGAGTGGATATTAAGTTTAAATAAGATTTATTCAACATATAATTTACTGTGTCAAATGTGCATCAATACAGATACAATGTGGACATGATTGCCAACACCAGTTACATCTGGGTTTTTCCTGTTAGCAGTGGGATAGTTTGGTATGTCCAGATACAGGTCTCTCTGGAACTGGTCAAGATCTGGGACTTTGTAAGATACCTCATGATAATAAAAAACAAGAAGAAAACCAGCAGTCAGTAAACCACAGTGTCTTGTGAAGTCAGTCCGTGGGAATTTTGTTCCTCGAATTGCTGTGGTTTCCGAAGCAGTGTTATTTTTGTTACCTCCTGTCTCCTTCCCCTCTCTGCCTATCACCCCATAGTTGCTAGGAGAGGAATCAGTTAACTGTTTCCCCCAACCTCAATGCACTCTTGCCGTAAATTACAACATTTACAGAGAAAGATAAAAATTACAAAATATTTAAAACATGTCAATCTGCAAAGTTTCAGCTTTTGAGCATGTATAGTTATTAGAAATTTTATACCCTTAACACACATTTAAATTGAGCTGAGCATTCTTCTGTCAAATATGCACACACATTCATTTGTCTACTACTACATCCACATGCCAGGTATAAATAAAAGGATTCTGAGACTACAGAGTAAAAGTCTAAGTCAAATTAGCAAGAGGATTCATTAAGATATCTTCTTATGTCTAAGTCTATTTCCTGTTGTACAAAAACTGTCTTCAAAGAAGAAACCTAACTATAAGAAAAGAAACTATTTTTGTAAAACACCTCAGTTTCTAGAATATACAAAATTTGGATTTATACTTTATCAGCTTTCTTTTCTTTTGTGGATTAGTTCAATATTTTTATAAGGCCAAATTTTCATCCCCTCAACCTTCTACATATTCATTTAATTTTTTAAATATTTCTTTGTATTTTTTTAATAGCTGATATTTAAAATTTTTCAATATTTATATGAATTATAATTTATAACAATAACAGTTTAATATTTATTCACATTATTATTTAATTTTTCCCTATTATATTAAGTGTAACATTTTAAAATAAATTTGAATAATTAAATTTCAAAAAATAAAATAAAGAAAAGAATGAAAGTCAAAGAGAGAACTTACTATTTGTCGAGTACAGTTTCAGGACTTGTAGAAGAGGTACTAACTTTTTGAATTCACCAGCACTGTTTTTAACCATACTCACTGTTATTGACAAAGCTTGGGACAGTCGTCCTTTCATTGGAAATTTTGAGTCTGGTGATATAAAAAAAAAAAAAAAACATTAAACTGAATAAAATATACAGTTGTAGGAAAGCTTAAAAATGAAATTTTAAACAATAAAAATATCCAAAATTAAATAAGTAGTTTCTGGAATTTGATTGGACAGTACAGTCACATGCTATGTTTCTGACTATGCCCATATGTTTGAACTCCAAATGAACTGGTCACTGGGTGTTATCCCATATAAACTGAAAAGTTTTTGTTTGGAGCCAATCACATGATCAGGATAATTATATATACAGCGATTTTGGGGGAAATACAAATACACAGAGCAAAAACCCAGTCAGCAGCTGGATCACCCATTGATGACAGGCGGTTGGATCTGTAAACACCCAACCAGACTCTTCTCATTACCATGACAACACCTCAGTCAGCAATGACTACACACCATTCAAAGGAATATTCACACAACTCAAATAAATATTCATAGCCATGAAAAAAAGTAAGTCTTATCTATCTGTACATCCATTTCCTTTTGCAACCACTGTAATCAGATTTCAAGCACTCACAATATGTTTCTACTAATGTGCTTCACCTACACCCCCCCCACACACACACAGATATATTCAGTCAGCAGTCACACATACACTGTTAAAATGGCAAACATACTTATATACACATTTTATATATGACTTTACCAACTATCCTTTAACAAATGGAAAATTTTGTTGAACATTTAAATTTTTAAACTTTGGTTTTTTACGAACAGAACAAACACAATGTTTACAATGTTTACTATGTAAAAACAAATGTTAATGTGTACATAAATGTATGATTATTTCAACATGGTTTTAATTTTGCCTATGCAAAAAAATCATTTCTTCATGTTATGTTGTTTTTATGGGCACAACATTTGGATTTTAAGTTTTTACTTTTAATCCAGGTAAACTGACCCTACAAACCTACAAGCTTTCTTCCTTGGTGCCTCAACTGCACAAATTTAAGCATGCTAATAGATTGGCAACTGGGTTTCACTATTTTACTGTTGAACTAGCTAGATGCAACCATCAGTTCTGTTCTAATATTTTCTTTTCTCACACTTCTCATATGTGGAACTCCCTTCTGATTTCTTGCTTCCCTGCCATCTACAATTTTCAAAAATTTTAAATGCAACCTCACCTATCACCATCTTCTGTCTTCTCATTCTCTTTCACTCCCTGTAATCCCCTGCATCATAATAGCATTGTTATCATGCTTGAAGTGAAAAAAAAAATGTTCAGCATGTAGTGGCCTGAGTGAAAGGGAATATTCTTTTTAATTCAGTGCTGTTTTTATACTAACATATTACATGACTATTGTAGTGTCATGTGACACCATATCTAAAAAGACTAACTCTTTACTTTTTCAACTCATGTTTTATTTATTTATCTATGTGTATATGTGCATGTTACTGAGCATGATGTGGCTTACAGCTACATCATGTTGAGACACCTGGTCCCATATGATCACTGAAGTTAAGCAATGTCAAGCCTGGTCAATACCTAGATGGCCAATTTCCAATTCCTGTTTAATACCCACAGGGGTGACCGCCTGGGAATACCAGGTGCTGTAAACTTTGATGTGCAGTTGGTTTAATGGATAATATTAATCGGAGGGCCAAGTTCCAATTCCAGTTGGGTTCGTTATATTCACATACAGACAAATACCTTTGGGAAATGTATGAATCCACCTCTTCTCCCACAAACAATGGGTTAATCAGTAAGACTTGTATCACTAAATCTTTATCTCAAAAAAAAATTCTTACAATCTAAAAATATTTTCTGGCTTTAAATAACCTGCAAAGGATTGATAAGACGTAAAAAGCAAATCAATCAATGAGCAGCTTGTGGGTTATCTAAGTTATGGTGACATTATTTTCTGATGGCTGTCATCTCCAAAAAACCCTAATAATTTTTATTAGTATGTTCTTACAGTTCTTAGAAGATAAGGTTTTATGTTCCCCCATTTTTAAAGTCTAGGTTATTAGAGCTTTAATATTTTTGGAATTTTTCCCAACTTGTTTCTCTGAGTTAATCAGAATATCTGAAAGTTAATGGAAATAAACACTATATGTATGAAATAAAGTGGGGTTCTTTTGGACCGGTTTCTGTGTAATTTGAACAAAAAAAAGTTATCAACACTCACCCATGTTCTGTAATTAAATCAACAAACCCTCTTTTGAGACAGTAAAAATGGATTAAAAAAAATGGAAAGAAAAAGCACTTCACTTCTCTAGCAGTCTTCTTCACCCACACGACCAAATATAAGAATGGTCAGAGCTACACTCCACATATGATTTTATTCCTCTAACCATTCTCCCACAATGCAACAGCCTTCCACCTTTCACTTAATAAATTACCCGCTCCAGTTGTCTTATATATCTTTCATTTTCTCCTTCCACAGATACATGTTGTGGAGAAAAAAAAAAGCTAAGTCCACATAATTTTTCTTCTCTTTTCTCTTTCACCCCACACTGTGTAATCAAAGATGAAATTAGTACCTTTACTTCCAATTTTTGCCAGCAGCTGATGGAGCTGAAGCATGAAAGCCATTCTTGGTGCTGATTCTTTGGATTCTGTGACCAAAATTTGCAAAAGCAAATTGCTGGCACCACTGCTAACAAGAGCAGAAGCATTCTTTCCTGTGTCTGAAAAGAGGAATAAAAATTTAAAATAGTTTTAAAATTATGAAAAATATTTCTTATATCAAGATGAGTTATCATTATACATTATAATTCAAGATGGTGTTCACATTTTTTTTATTGTTATTATTTTAAGGAATCCATTGGTATGAACTGATACATGAGAACAATAAGCACTTGAAAAAAAACAATTATATATCATTGAAACAGGATGTTGATAATAATATCTATAACAACAAAAATGGAAACAATAATTCCAGTAAATCAGTGGATAATACTGACAATTCTTCATCTTGAAAAATCAAAAATTGTCAGAGTGGTATGAATTCACTGTGATAAGAGATATTTAACCACCTGATTTTAAATTAAAAGTTTTCAAAATCACACTCTCTAATAATGTCTCTAGAACAGTGGTCTACTGGATATAAGCATTGGCTAATTGGTTAAGTGCTGCAGTTAGCTAATAAGGGGTTCAGTATCTGGATTACTATAAACTTTATTTCTTGTAGAATTTTTCACAATCATGAGACTATCATCCCTATACAACCCTATACTATCTAGAGTAATCTCTTCATAAGCAGTAAGATTATACAAAATAAATAATCCAGCCAAATTAGAAGATTCTTCAGAATCCAATGTTCCCATAGAAATGTCAAATTTATCATTAGGAGATACTATGATAGGCAGCAAAACAAGGATGCAGTGATGTAGTGGTTTACATATGTCTGAAGATAATACCTTATAATAAAGATATATATATATATATATTCCATAACCATTATGGATATACTCAGATCCTCAAACATTAATAGCAATAATATTTCTGAAACAGACATCTATAAAGTAAATTGCCAAAACTGTTCCTCCCAATATATTGGAGAAACAAGCAGAAATTTTAGAAAATGCATCTATGAGCACAAAAGAGACCTCACAAAAAACAAGTTAACTAATGCACTATTTATACATTGAAGGCTATTTGCATGTAAGTGAATGTAACAACCCTGAATGGAATTAAAACTTGGCTCTTTGATTTCTCATTCCAAGCTGATATCCATTACACCACAAGACACAATCTCAACATATTTATAGTTATTCATAATTGAAACATCTGAAAAATGTACTTACATGGTTTGGAAAGCAGCTCAAGAAGAATGAAAACAATGTTCTCCACAGTTGTTTTATCAGCCATTCCCTACAAGACAAACAAAAAATACATAAATAAATAAAAAAAAAGTAGAGTTAAATATTGATTAATAAATTAGTTACTCATCATTACCCCCTTTTTTTTTTTTTATAATGGACTCACTGTTGAATTTTTATAGATTAAATATATAATATAAAAGTGGATATTATGGTCAATACCCAGTGGCAATAATCTGTTTCCTGCTTAACTGCAATCTTCAGGCCTAAGGTTGAACAGTCATAGCATGTCAGGTTAAATGATGATTCTATATAGGTTAGAATTCTGATTCCTGTCAGAGGATGCATATTTTCGATGAAATTTCTCATATATTCAGGCCAGTAAATGTAATTAATACTATCTAATTTTAAAAACAGCATTTACTCAAATAAGTGTATCAATAAAAAAATGTATAAACAGAAAAAAAAAAAATTTTATAATATATATCTCAAATATGTAGTGTAGTTTAATTTACATTACTGCCGGAATAGTACTGTTTTGGTAGGGTCTCTTGGGCAAACAAGTATGATGTTGCAAGACCCAAAACTTGTCATGACCCCAAGTCATAACATCACTGATGATGACAAATCATTCATACAAAAAGTAAATTAGTAAAGGTAATGATATAAAATTTATAATTTTAAAAAACAAGGATCATAACATTCATCGAGTGATTAGTAGGTTAATGCATCTTTAAAATTTAGTTAGTGAAATGATTTCGCCATTTTATATCATTAACTTTACTAATTTACTTTTTGTATGAATGATTCATTGTAATATATATATAAGTTTCCAAGAGGATAGAATCTAGGTAGAACTCAATGTCCAGGACAGAGTAAGAATATAATAAAATGGTTTAAACACTAATAATACATGGTTATAATTTGTTACTATTATATATAACCATGGAATATTAGTGTTTAATTTTTTTTTATTATATATATATATATATATATATATATATATATATATATATATATATATATATATATATATATATGTATGTATGTTGGTGCAAAAGACAGACTACCTGCCAAAAGACCTAAAAAAAAAAAAAAAACAACAACTTAGACAAGAAAAAAATTCCAAAACTAAAAAAGAAGAAAAGACAAAAACCTACCTAAGCAGCAAATTAGAGTGATCTATACCTAGGCTATCCAATCAGAGCAATAAAAAAACACTTTACAGCATCAACCCTCAATGAGACAACTTGAATCACTGTTTGAGTTTCATGCAATCTTCAGGTGACTAGAATATATATATTTCTAAGTTCAATATTATACACTGAAAATTCAATATTAAAATAAAACTGTTTATAATTATAGTATGTACCTCAATTCAGATTATGCAGAATATACTTTACAATTAACGTAACATCAAATAAATAGGACTGACCTGAATTGACCTCTTGGCTGCATCTGGGTTGCAAGCATGGGAAAGGAACGTAATACAGGAGATACATAAACAACTACCCCAAGAAAGAGTAAAGACAGTCTCTAAGACATTGCAGGTGAGAATGTAAGGTCCACATTTCAAATGAGAGGACTATAGTATCACACATATGCACACTGGCTGATGAGAACTGACAAAGTATCAGAGTGAGATATCAGAGATTAAGGATTCTGCTTTCATTAAGGATTCTGCTAAGCATTAAGTCGCATATCAATATTATTACAAAATTACCATGTATGAGATTTTCTAAAAATATCACTTCTACTTATATGGTATTTAATCTTTTTTTGTTCCACTCAAAAGTTAAGGAAAATTGTTTCTCTAATAGACTGGAAAACTGAGAATACCATGGACAGAGCATGTAAGTAGCAAGCAAGTCTCAAGGAAAAAGGGAAGCAAAAAGAACACTTAGAATCAGAAAAAGACAGCTAAAATTTCTGAGACACAATCAAAAAGAGGACATGATAAATTTTACACTCACAGAATATATTGAAAGCAAAAGAGAAAGTCAGTGGGCCACAGTACACAGAAGAAGATCAACAGTAGTAGGAATAGTATTGAAAAAATTGTTCCAATTGGTCTAACAGTTTAAAGAGTTGCTGCCCGAGAGAAAGATTTAATCAGAGCCAGTAAAAATGTTATTTAAAATAGCAATTTATTCATCTGTACTTCTGTTAATATCGATATTATGATACTCCTAATTAATAAAAAAAATATTATATTAATTTTATTTTACTGAAAAATGTCCCACTTCACTTATATGGGTTTGATCTAAGGCCACTCCTATAAAAGCAATCTTTCTTTTTCCGAGACTTATGAAACTATGTCTTCTCTCTCAGGTAACAAGTATGGTACACCTGTGTATGTCCAAATTGAAGACAGTGTGGAATCACCCCATTTGTCTGCCAAAGAGCTACTAACAACCACTAGATTGCATTGCAAAATTAGTATAAAAGAAATGAGTCCAAAGCCTTACCCTCTTTTTTCTCACTTTTACCCGCAGGGTAACAGAGACAAGATTTGTCTCATTTACCCATTGGCGGTGCCTTTTGTCTACCAAATAAACAGTAATGTTGCATTAAATGCATTAACCATTTCAGTGATGGGCTTTATTAAACAATATGTCAAAACTTTCATTCACTTTAATGGGTACATATATAGTAACATAACAAATACTAAAAGCATATGTAGAAATTAATTGGAAATTATTTTAATAAAAGATGTATAGAAAAATATTTGACTACAAGAATGAATTGTAAATGATTTGAATATAGAAATGCATTGTTTATTCTTGTAATATTAGGTGTAGATATACCATTTATACATGTGTTGAATATTGTTGCCACATCTAGTCTGGTACTTCTGTTTTGTATTTAAAGATTCTTGATAAAATACAAAGAAGAATCTGCAATATTATCAGTTCTGATCTGACATGTTGTCTTCAGTCTTTTCATTTTGCCGTAAAGTAGCTTCCCTGTACCGTTTTTATAAATATTATCATGGCAATTGTTCTTATGAGTTTTCCTCTTGATTCTTGGCTTTACAAATTCAATTGGCAGCTAGGTCTCATCATTTTGCAGTTAAAATGGCTAATGTAACCAAGTTCTATGCTAACAGTTTCTTCTCTCGCACTCCTCACTTGTGAAACTTTCTTCTGGCTTCTTGTTTCCCAGTCAACTTTGATCTTCAAATAATTTAAATGCAATGTCAATTGGTATCATTTGATTTCTTAATTCCTATTCTTTTATTGTTTCCTCCCCTTATTCAGTAATCCCTTGCATCTTAGTGGCTTTATTGCCTTGCTTGGGGTAAAATAATTAAAAAAAACATGTAATCACTGGTATTACAGACAAGCAGGATTTATGAAGCAATTAGGTTAATAATTTCATTTACACTAATGATATATATATACTAGCAGTAGAGCCCGGCATTGCCCGGGGATATAACAGTAAGAGATAGATCAAGTATCCACCATCATAAAGACTGAAAAATAAAATTGACAAAGATTATTGTTTAAGGTTGACGGACACGCATGTCTTAATTAGTTTTTTTTTTTAGGAATTGGTCAAACCCAAACTCAAACAAAAACATTGTTTTCAATTGTTATGAGTCTCCCGATTGAATAGAATTTTATAAACAATTGTCTTGTAAATTGAATTTTTAAAGCATTCTGAATGTAAAAATAAAGAAAAAAGTGTACAAGACAATAAGAAACACTACATGCCAAAAAAAAAGTGAAGTTTTGTTGAAATCGGTTGAAAAATGTATGTAGCCTTTCTGTAATCTTTTAGTTTTACAATTTATGATTTTTACTTATTGAATACAGTAATAAAAATTGCATATTTTGCTTGTGGTGATTCATAATTAGAATTCTGATTTTAATATATTTTCCACTCGTTGTTTCTAATACAAAAAATATTAACTTTATTTGGGTTTATTAATTATGATCTAACAAATCTTATTCATTTAGTAGCCTTTCTGTAATAATAATCTTTTACAATTTATGATTTTTACTTATTGAATACAGTAAAAAAATTGGACACCATGTGTATTTAAAGTAGTTTCCCGTTCCGGTTATTATTTTTAGTTAGGACTTCTTGTGTATGTTTAGATTTCATTATCTTTCCCTAAAGATAAAGAATTTCTTCCGATGTTTGTATTCATACAATCAGTAGAGATCATTAGATTATTGTTTAAGGTTTACAGACACGCATGTCTTAATTAGTTTTTTTTTTTTTTTTACGAATTGGTTAAACCCAAACTCAAACAAAAACATTGTTTTCAATTGTTATGAATCTCCCGATTGAATAGAATTTTATTATAAATAATTGTCTTGTAAATGGAATTTTTAAAGCATTCTGAATGTTAAAAATAAAAAAAAAAGTGTGCAAGAGAGTAAGAAACACTACCTGCCAAAAAAAAAAAAGTGAAGTTTTGTTTTATCGGCTGAAAAATATAGGAAATCCGCTCTCATATTTAAAGGAACCCAGACACACAAACAACCCGATGTGAGTTGCCCTTCCATTTTCACGATGTCTCTTAATCGTGTTTTCAAATTGATTTTGTGCAAAAACAATTATATTTTTCCCATTTTTGGCACTGTTAGAACCACCATAAGGTAATTTTATGTAGTCCTGTGAAGTTTTGTTGAAATCAGTTGAAAAATGTAGGAAATCCGATCCAATATATAAACGTTACAGACACACACACACAATCTGCGTTTTATAATAAGTAAATATATATATATATATATATATATATATATATATATATATATATATAAAAGCCAAAATGTATTATATAAATGCATTATATAAAAAACAAGAGAAAACCAATTAAATATAAAGGAGAAAGATAGATGGGAGTGGCCAAATCTTCCAACCATTTTTCCCTGCAAAGAGAGAAAAGCACTTTTATTAAAAGGAAAATGTTTCCTATTGTAAATTCAGTATCCAGCTTAAAAAAAGGTGCAAGAAATGTTGTACAGACTATATATATATATATATATATATATATATATATATATATATATATATATATATACACACACACACACAGAT